AACAGTCCTACCACCACTATAGATCATTTTCAAAGCTGGTAGGAAAATCTGTCTCTTCTCTTAATCTATGTTGAGTTAAAATAGAACCCTCTCCCTGCCAAAAAACATCCAAAACCAAACCAAACAGCTCAACTCCAACCTGCCAACAAACAAAACATCTCACAGCAGATGCTCAGTTCTTATCAGTGCTTTCCCTCTTGCTTAATTCTTTAAGGAAATATGAAACAAAGGGTATCTGATAGTCATAGCCTTTTCATTCCTATAGAATTTATCCTCTTACTGGGAAGCAAGGGCACCTAAACACTTACTAGGATTAAATGCTGGACAGGGGCCTCAATACAGATCTCCAGCCTGCTCAGTTGGGAACAACACCGTTAAACCTAAGCAGGCTTATCACAACTTATCTCCCTTTATTGGAGCATGTGCCCACTATGTCACAATCCTTTTTCCTAACTACTCCACTACTCTTAGTCTTCCTCTGCTTCAACAATCTCACCATCCAGAAGGGAAGAACACCGCATTCCTTCTATCATCAGTCTCCCCTCAAGACTTCTGCCTCCTGGAGACCATTCCTCAGTTGTTGCATAATTCTAGACAACTGGGATAATTTACAGAATGAATGAAAAGTAGGGGGAAAAAAAAGAACAATGAACCAAAAGACATGTGTGACAGCAAAAGACTTGCCTTTATTCTAAAATAAGAGTTGCCTCATGCAAATCTGCATTTTTTGAATAACAGCAACACTATAATTATATTGTCATTAAAGTGACGGAAGTTCTAAATAAGGAAAAAATTCAGGCTTATAAAAATGTTTACAGACACTTAAAACACAGTAGGGAAATGAAACTTAACTAAATTTAAAATGAGAGGAACAACATTTTTAAAAAGTGATGAAGGTTTCCCTGGAATGATTGCAACATTCAAATATAGCAGCCATATCAATGAACAAATGCCAGACAGCAACTTCATAATGCTTAAGGGCTCTGCGCTTTGCAGCAATACCGTAATGGAAAAGTTAATGTAGCATTGAATCAAAGTGAGCTGCTCAGCTGCTGCAGTAAAACCTCTAGATCATGGAAATAATGGGCCATTTTCCCCCTCACCCATTTTTGACCAAAAACAACAGTTTAAAAAAACAAAAAGAAATTTTTTAAAAAGTAACAACAACAACAAAGATTTATGACTTATACTACCCAGTGAGTCCCTGACAAATCATATGCCAGTTGTTTCCCCTCAAAACACTTTAATGGTAAAAAATATTTAACAAAGAGGTGTTGTCTTTCAAATATTCAAGAATCAACAATTTATTAAGCAACTGAAAACAACAAAAATATCACTCATATTAAACTACAAATTAAAAAATTAGGAAACATGCCTAACATTTTTCCTAAACATTAGGCCTAAATATGTTAACTTTGGTAATTTTTTAAAAGCTGCCTCAAAATTTTGAAACCAAAGGCCGAATTTCTGACTTTACAGCATAGTTAGTGATATTTTTGTCTTAGAAAAACTTTACTAATGAACAATACTCTCCAAAGGTTTATTTAGGAAGGTTATTTCTATTAAATATTCTATATGTATAAAAATATGCATACCAACATGTATTTCTATATCTTTGTAAAAATGTAATGCCAATTACTAAATACTTTCATTTAGATGACAGTGAGAAGCATAAAAGCAAACCATAAGGTAAATTATTAGATATCAGACCCATAAAGATATGTTTAAGTGTCTGTTAATATTGTGGGCTTAAAATATTAATTTCTTTAATAAACACTTGATAAAATGTTGCAGGGTAGTGTAGAATAGGAATAGTGTGCATGCGCTCAGTCATGTCCAATCTGTGCAACCCCATGGACTGTAGCCCACCGTGCTCCTCTGTCCACGGGATTCTCCAGGCAAGAACACTGGAGTGGCTGTTTATTTCCTACTCCAGGGGACCTTCCAGACCCAGGGATCAAACCCATGTCTCTTGTGTCTCCAGTACTGGCAGGCAGATGCAGTAGGATATTGTTTTCTAATTTATCTAATTTATGTTCCACAACTCTATTAAATAGTTATTATGTTGTATTTTATAAATGAAAAATATTGAAGTTTGGAGAATTTAGGAAATTTACAAAAGTTACACAAATCTTAAGCTCTGGAGATAAAATTTGAATTCAAGTCTGAGTCCAAACCTTGAATGTAATGATATCTATATAATTATTCAATTAATACTTATAAACCAATAATGTAATGAACTTAAATTTTACATTTACCAATTTAGTTTATTTTTCTTATGTTCAAAGTTTACCAAATGATGCACTGAAAATTAGAATTATGTTAAACACATAAAATATTGTAGTTAACATATTCAAAATATTCTGAATTATAGTATTGCTCATTCTTTCTATATTGCAAGGTAAAAAAAGAAAGTCAGAGGTGGAGGCTGAAAGTCCTTATTTAGTTCTTTATCCAAACTTAATAATTTCTGAAACCTTAGCAAATAAACCTAAATAATATTATTATTCTTTATTGAGTACATTTGGTAATATTTCAGAATCCTTTGGGACCAGTTATAGGTACTTTGAATTCCTGTATTCGTTCATTCTTTCATTCAATTACTTCTTCTTTCATTCTTTCATTCTCCTTACTTACTCAGCAATATTTATTTACAGACCTCCTCTTACATGTCAGGTACTCTGCTACATACAAAGAACTTTGGCTCCTGAGGAACTTGGGGTTTGGGCAGTAAAGGAAAAAGATAAATATACATGTATGGCAGAGATATAAACCAAGTAAAAATGTGTTAAAGAAGTGAGGAGGAAGGAACTAAACCAAAAATGTAACACTTAAGTTCAGTCTTCTCCACTTTAAGATCTCACAGACGTCAACAGACATCAACTGAATAGTTGGGAATTCTAATCTGACCAGGTGGCATTTCAACAAGTCAGTCCATGGACAACAAACACGTGCTGGGATGGTGTGAGTGTTTGATTCTGGGCAGGGGCTGGAATAGCAAACCCTCCTTAACAATACTTTCTAGCCCTAGCATCTGAAACCTAAAACACACTGAACTGAGTTGATATACTACTTTTTAGGTATAATTTAAGTATTTTTGGATTTTTAAATATTTAAGAAGTTATCCTTTGGGGAAACATGGGGCAAGGAGTGAATCATAAGAATTAAACATGGGGCAAGGAGTGAATCATAAGAATTAAAATAACTAACATTTGTACTTACTGTTTTTAATCAATCACAACCTACTTAAAAGCAGAATGTATCAATAATAATGTAAATTTTAAATGTGAAAAATAGATCAGAGAGGTAACTTTAAAATATTTGGAGTACAGAATGTTTCAAAAGATGGAACAAAGAATACTAATGTAAAGGGATTTATAATATATACTCCAAATAAAAACAAGTAATCTTGGATTGCAGGAAGATGGATGAAACCATAATTTCCAAGTGAAAAGCATTATTAAAATGGCAGGGCTTCAAGTTGGACAGAATAGATATTGAAGAAACTCAAGAAACACAAAGTGACAAATCTGAGGTATTTTATTTCTCTAGGTCCTGAATTATATATAACAAAATTAGATGAGCAGAGAGTAGTCACAAAGGTACTTTGTGGAGCATATGTTAGGTTGTTTTATAAGATGACTCTCATTTTTATAGATCGAATGAGTTGACCAAAGTGGAGGTTTCACTAAAAAGATCTGGGAGATGGTAAATAAGCAGTAATTAGGTAAAACCAGAGAAGAAAACTTTACTTCTGATATGGATTTAAAAGACCTATATGTGATATAGAATTACATAAAAATTCACTGATTTGCTAATTTTATTTTAAAGTAAGTAGCAATTATTCCTTAAGGGAACAGTGCCCTTGAACATCAAGTTAGTGCCTCTGAACCAGCAATACTTGAAACCAATGCTCACATAACTCTGACCATGACACCATCAAATCTACTGTAAGGTGAAAATTGTAATTAACACTCAATTATTATATTTGTAACAACTGCTCCTAAAGAAGTTAACAAGGTATTTTGCTACTTATCTTTTTCATATGTTAACTTACTGCTTAATAATGTGCCTTAAAGTGCACTAAAACACACTCAGCTTCTCAGCTGATAAATCTAAAGCTTTAAAAATGCCTGTGTGATGGTTTATATTTGGCATATTTTATTGCCTAGCCCTCAAATGTCTTTCTTCATACAAAAGCCAGCCGTACTCAATTTTAAAATTTATGTTAAGACTCAAAAGGCATAAAAACCCTCTTTATGGAATACCCCATTCCCTGGCTCTGAACTGCATCTTCATCTGTAGAGGGTTTGACTGCAATTTGGTAACTATTTACTGAATAATGGTAACACAAAAGAATTCCACTTGAAAGAAAACAGTTTCTGTCTTACTGTCTACAAAGAGACATTACAATTTGCAGCTTCTACAAAAATCATATGAATCAAGTTTTTAGGACTTACATTAGCTTGAAAAGCTATTAAAACAGTTCTTCTTAGGGCTCAGTTGTCTATACCTAAAAGTAAAGGAGCTGATTATATCTTTAATGATACACATCAGCCTTTTCTTCATGGAAGATTGTTTTCAACTTGATGCTAATGGCTTAAGATTCAATTAGTAAAGATACATGGTTCATCTTATTTTTCTGGGGACTTGTATCATATCGGTAATTGGTCTTTCCTGACAGACTTCAGAGTTTCATTTTCTTTGTTTCCTTCCTGAATTGCTACTAAAATGCTTATGGGCTTGTTTTACAGATTTTTTATATTTCTAAAATAATATTATAAAAATATAAATACCATGCTTCCCTCATAGAAGAATTCTCCCCACAGATTTTACATTATATAGCACACATTTCATGTTTAGAATTTATCATTACCATGCAAATTGGATTAATAGTAGCCCAAGTACCAAATCCTATTTGAAAGAGGATTAAAGGTTTTACCATGCCAAACAAAACTGACAAAAAGTTTTTTACATATGAAGTTGGTAGGAGACAAATGTAAACTGTTTAAGATCATTTTATTTGATTTGTTATCTAAGCAATAAGAGTATTAATAGCATTTACTTTTACAAAATGTTGAACAAAAGTTGGATTTTCTTCTGGTTTGTGGAGATGGTCTCTGGTGTGTGAGGATGTTTTAGTTTCTTCCACTAATTATCCTAGTGCCACACTTCTTTTTTTTTCTTGAATGACTCATTACCCTCAATTTTTGTTTTTGTTGTTTTTCAGAATGCCTCACTAGTTGTTTACAAAAAAGTGTGCTAAAACAAACAGATAAACAGACATTAAGACTTTATGTTTGAGAAACCATATAATCTCAAATATTAAAAAAAGTGCATATAGAAAAAAATTAACACAGGGATGTGATATAATGAAAACACAATATAAGACAAAGCTATATTAAAGCATCCTTGTAAAAACCAACCTTATTATATTAATATTAATAATCTTAAAATGCCAAAAAATTAAACTTTGAAAAAACAGTAACAATATGCATACTATTTGCATTTATTTTCTTTTTTTCTTAATGACTATTAGATACTGAAAATACTATCTGAAAATAGAGTATAAATTATACTGAATAATTATTTTCTAGCATTACTTGTTAGAAAAAGGGAGTGGTAAAATGCTTCTGTAGTATCACTCTGGGCCACATTTATTCCATCACACAGTTAATTCCTAAAGCTGAAATAATCATTACATTTTGATGTTCACCTGTTTTATCGAACTACCACATGGGAGATTTATGGGAATGCTATCATGTCAGGGTCACAAGATTAAGTGAACAGTGATGACAGTAAATAAGCCATTTCTCTATATTCCAAAGGGTTTAACTCAGTTACTTAAAATGCCATAAACATAAATAGTCTTCTCTCTCTACATTGTATTTGTGACAGATGACTTCAAAATACAGCACTCTAGGGCAATGACACTTTCCAACTAAACAGGCAACCCTTATTGTTGACAAAAGACACTAAACTACTTGTAAACACAAATATTAAAAACAACTTCACATTTTAATCCATAAAATTTCAGTGTGTATAAAATATAGAGCACTATCACTGTAAACTACTCATTTATAAAAGCAAAAAAGATGTAGTTATAAAAAGGGTATTTGCTGAGGAAAATATTGTTCAAATTCAAATTCTTAAATGTTTATAAAAATGTTTTCATGTCATTTCATGAGTTTCAAAAAGTCAATGGGTTTAACATATTATTTTAGGGAGTGCAGTGATATTTAAGTAAAAATATCTAAAATATCTAAAAAAATATCAAAAAAGCAAGCTTATAAAAACAGTTACCTCAAAGGCATCCAGAGAGTTTTCTCAACAGCCTAATAATGTACTATCTCCAATGATTCCTACAAAATTGCCAGCTGCCAAGATAACAGATTTTACTGGCTGAAAAATATTGTCTACAGTTTGGTATATGAATATTTTAATTAGCAGTCAAATAAAGGACTGAGGGACTGTGATAAACTCAATTTAACTCCAGACACTTATTTCAAATGGTCAAAAAATTTTAACTTTATGCTATTTGAAGGTCAAGGAGAAGTTTTGTTACTGTGGAGATTCAAAACATTAATTTTCATTTTAAAACTAATGATTTCAATGCCTGACAAAGTGTTTAATTTTTGTGTGTTTTATTATTTTATATTTGTTTATTGATTTTCTTCATTATTTTCATTTGTGTAGATCATGTCATTCTAATGCTATATGAAGCATTTTATAAAGTATTTTACTTTGGAGAGACTTACTAAAATAAACATCTTGATTGTTCAAAAAAGTCTATGTATTTTAGAGGGAAAAAGGTAGTAGAAATGATATTGGTTATCAAACAGACGTTTCAGCTTGAGCTCCTTCACATCGAAATAACACAGGCGTTTCTGGTCCAGACGCACACAATCCTTAGTGATCTAAAATCCTCTAGCCCTTTCAAGTAATTGTTCTTACCTATATAATCTGCATTAGAATTCTAAGGGAGAATTAAACGACAGGCTGTTAAAGTTTTCTCTCTCTCTAAGGGAAGATGAACTCTGACACTCCTTTAAGGTTTTTGCTGAATCTAGTAATACCACTTTGGTCTTTTCCCCATTTGGAATATTCTCCCAGCTTCCCAGGCTTTTCCTTTTATTTACTGAAGACTCAGAAGTTGTACACAATCTTCCTTTCCATCTCAAATACTGGAATTATAAATCAAGGTTGTACACATCATGCAAAATACCAAGCTGGATGAGTCACAAGCTGGAATCAAGATTGTCGGGAGAAATATCAACACCTCAGTTATGCAGATGACACTACTCTAACTATAGAAAAGTAAAGTGGAACTAAAGAGCCTCTTGATGAGGGTGAAAGAAGAGAGAGAAAAAGCCAGGTTAAAACTCAACATTCAAAAAACTAAGATCATGGCATCCAGTCCCTCCACTTCATGGTAAAGAGAAAGGGAAAATGTCAAAGCAGTGACAAATTTTCTTTCTTTGGGCTCCAAAATCACTGCAAATGGTGACTGCAGCTACGAAATTCAAACATGCTTGCTACTTGGAAGGAAAAGTGTGACAAACCTAGATAGGATATTAAAAAGCAGACACATCACTTTGCCAACAAAATTCTGTACGGTCAGAGCTATGGTTTTTCTAGTAGTTTAGTTGTGTATGGATGTGAGAGCTGGACCATAAAGAAGACTGAATGCCAAAGAATCAATGTTTCTGAACTGTGGGGCTACAGAAGACTCTTTAGAGTCCCTTGGACTGCAAGGAGATCAAACCAGTCAATCTTAAAGGAAATCAACCCTCAATATTCATTGGAAGGACTGATGCTGAAGCTGAAGCTTCTATACTTTGGCTACCTTATGCAAAAAGCTGACTCACTTAAAAAGACCCTGATGCTGGGAAAGGTTGAAGCCAAAGGTAGAAGAAGGCTGTAGAGAATAAGATGGTTAGATAGCATCACTAACTCAGTGGAGATGAATTTGAGTAAACTCTGGGAGGCAATGAAGGACACGGAAGCCTGGCGTGCTGTAGTCCACAGGTTCACAAAGAGTCAGACATGTCTTAGCGACTAAACATTAACAATTCAACCTAAGTGCCAAATGCAAGATTCCATCCTTTCAGTTTCTTGATCTCATTACTATGATTTTCAACCTGATTCCACTTAATTATTGTATTTTTATGACCACATTCTGGATTTGGTAACCTGTTCTGATATATTTCTGAAATCTTAAAATCAAACATCTGAGAGATTCCCATAGCTTCAGTTCACTGACTCTTATTATTTTCTTGACTCCATTATTTTCTGTGTATCAATCCCCTGCTTTCTTTACTTTGCTTCCTTAACTATTTTAGATTATCACTTAGCACTCTATGACTTCAATCACTTTCTTATTTGTAACTTAATATGTTCACTCCTTTGCTTTGATGAAACTATCCAGCAATAAACAACCCTAGAAGTGATGAATTAAAGATAATGTACTTTTTAACATATTTACAGATACAGCTTAATAGTCACAGATATAGCTCTTTCTCTTTTTGGTTGTTGACAGAATATAAGCAGTTTCTTACATATTTTAAAAGTTTACAATTAGGCTCCTTCCTTTTATTTGGAAGGAAATGGAGTACAGACCTTGTCATCTCTTGCATATTCAAATGTTTTGCTGTATCAGAGAAAACATCATGTGATACATTCAGAGAAGTTGGGAAAATAATTCAAAATACAGTAAAATTAACTCAAAATAAAAATCCCACTACCCTACAGGAATCCATATTCTAACAATTCTTGGTGGTTGGAAGAAGAAAAAATATAGATGTATTGCTGACACGACCTGTTGAGGGACAATGTGTGTACGTGTGTTGTATGGGGAGTGGGAGACGAAAGAAAGAAGTAAATCAAGGAATAAGAGAGATGAGATTTGTTGGGGATTGGAAATATATATTTGGCCATGTCTAAGAAGTTCATCACATGCATGAACAGTGACCTACTGTCATATTGAGCTCTATTTTCTTCTTCATGGTAGACTTTTCCATTAAAATATGATTCGGGCAAGACAAACTCAATAATCATCTTCCCGTCTACACCACTTCTTTCAGTGTTTCTGAGCTCTAAGAATGGCACCGGTGAGTGACAACAGCAACCTGGGCAACATTCCTGACTCTTTACTAACCATTTAATCATCAAGTCACAATGATGTTATATAATTTTAGATGTATGTTTTCTATTAAAGTGGTTATAATCAGTGACCTAAATTAATTAGAACACAATGAGTTCAATGTTAAAGATTCAAGTACCCAAGGAAAATGAAAATTTGTTCCATGGTTACAGAACGTATAGCTCAGACAGATGGTTCCAAAAAGTCCCAGCCAGGGAATAAAAGGGATCAGAAAATTAAGCAAAATCCCCACTACACTCTATGCCAACTTCTCCAAAATAAGCAGGGTTTTGAATCTAGAAATCTGAAGCTATTTTTACCTTCTTAGCAGATATGAGATACTCCTTTTAAAAAGCAACTGCACTATCCCAGAAGACATGCTGGACAATGAGTCTTGAGGGGAGAAGAGACTGAGGTATCCAGGGTTTGGGTAGTTTATTTTAAGATTAAGAAGATGATGTAAGAAGAGGGTCCTGAAAGTGAGATGGTGCATTTACTTCCAATGAAAGGGCAGGAACATGTGGAGCTGTTCCCCAGGCACCACAGCTTCTTGCATTAATCCAGAAACTAAAGTCTAATTTTTTCCAGAAACAGACCTACTTTCAAGAATAAATTAAATGTATTTCTAGAGCTCAGAGTAAAATGAAAATCCAGAGCTTTACATTAATAAGATTACCAGAATCTCAGCATAATCCTTGAGTGTGTGGGGCCCTATTAATAAACAAGACTGAGTTTTCCAACTCCCATGGAGGGGACTCAGGGCAAATTAATTCGGGTTTAAATAAAATCTGAGTGCAGTGGTTGTAGTTCATACCCATTATAGATGGCATCAGTGAACGTTTTAAGACAAAGGACAGAGAAATGGAGCCGGGAAGTGAAAGTTAATACCACTGTTTCAGAATATTCCAAATCTAGACTTTGTTTCAAAAGCATATGATTTTCACTTCAAATACTAGCTGCTCACTCCTTGCTCTATGTTTTAGTGTTTAATTTACGTTATTTTAAGTTAATACTTTATGCTTATAATGCTTAGTTTGAGTTATTTCATTACTTTGGCTTTAAATTCTTGATAGAGTGAGAGAACTCTTGCTACAGATGAAGTCTTGTTTTGGAAGTGTAGACTATCAGATTGAAATCCAATAACTATGTCCATCCTCTCATTTGAACCTGTTATATTTATTTATATAACTTTTTAGAAGCTATGGCATGCTATTCTATGAAGTTTCATAGCCATTAAATGAGAATGAGCTACGATACGAATATTTTTTATTTCTAAGCAGGTTAATTTTTTGGTCATCTTAGATTTCACAGTGTTAACAAGATCACAATTAATATTAATAGATTGTTTCTTATACTTAGTATGTTACCAATATACTGGGCAATACAACTTGTATTGTATATTTTTAAAAAGCTCTCAAATTCTAGTTTTTCCACAGGGAAGAAATCAAGATCAATAACATTATATTAATTCAAAAGTTAAAATATGTTAGAGCCAGCGAGCAGCATAATTGAGTCAAAAGATAAAGTTAAAAGGAATTGTATGTTAAAATTAAACATTTTTTTTGTAAAACAGGAAGTAAAACATTATACAGATGAAATTCCTTCAGATTTAACATATATTTAATAACAAGAATATATCTATAAGTGCTATTCAACCTCTCCACTGAGGAAACCACAAGGCTATTGGAACAGACAGGCACATCTATGTTGCTATAAAATATTAAGTGATATACCATAGATAGTTACAATACAGATAATTAGCACAAACTATGAGGAATCAGGTTTACAAAAGGCAGAGAACCCAGGAAACTATAGAAAGGGTGACATGTGACCTCAGCTGTAACAGGGTGACCATACTTTCCTATTTCTTCTAGTATATGTCTTCATAAAGCAGCCAGACTAATCTTTTTTTTTTTCTTTTTTTTTTTCAGACTAATCTTTTTAAACATAAATCAGATCATGTTACCCTTCTGCTCAAAACCCTTCACTGCTTTTCATGCCAGTTAGGATAAAGTCACAAATCCTTGTGATCTACAGGACTTTAAATCATCAGGTTCATATGTTTCTCTCCAGCCTCATCTCAAGACACCAACCCCACCGCTCACTGAGCTGTAGACATAAAACTCCCTTTTTCTGTTCATTTTATTATTTCTATGCTCTGAGTATTTGTAATGTTTCTCTCCTAATGTTCTGTATCCCAACCTTTGCTGATGATTTCCTTCTCATCCCTCGAAATTTGGCCTAAACTGACCTTTGAAAAAGTCTTCCCTGAATCTCTAATCTAAAATAAAGATCTTCTGTTACACTCTTTTCTTTCAAAGGACCCTATATTTTTCTTTCCTGACATTTGCTGAAGTTTGTTATTAATGTTTTATTTCTATAATTATTTGTTTAATATCAGCCCCTTCTACTAAACTATAATTTCATTATTTGAGGGCAGGCCAGGCTTTGGTGCTCAGCTGTTTCATCAAATACTATTCTAGATGTTGCTGTGAAGGTATTTTGTAGGTGAGATAACATGTATAATCAGCTGACTTTAAGTAAAGGATATTATGCCCAGTAATGTGGGTGGGCCTCATCTGATCAGTTGAAGGTCTTAAGACAAAAGACCTAGGTTTCCTGGAGAAGGAATTCTGCCTCAAGACAGAAATCCTGTCTGCGCTTCCAGACTGCCAGCCCAGCCTACAGATTTCAGATTTGCCAGGTCCCATAAGCATGTGAGCCAATTCTTTGAAATAAATTGATATCTGTATATTTACATTCATATCCATATTCACATCTAAATCTATATCTGTGTCCTACATACGTTCTGTTGGGCCTTTTCTGTTTGTCTGGTGACCTTGACTGACACTGTCTGCTTCTACTTGTAAAACTGTGTGACAGTACACAGGTTCCACTTAAACTCTGAAATCTTCAATTTCCTCATTGTAATATGAAAAAAAAATTTTAGTATCAACCTTAATGGAGATTCTCTGAATGTTAAAAAAAAATCTCATTTAACATTCTTAGTATAGTGCCTGGCAAACAATAAATATTTAATTAATGTTAGATGTGCTCGTATTGTTATTATTATAAGAAACAAATATCTAGAGTTAACTATTTTTAAAGATGGTTATGTTCTAATTTTACTTTAAATTCAAATAATACAGTTTTCTTAAATCTACCTTATACTTGAGATCCCGGAACAGTTGATCAACTACTATCCTGGCCATATTCCAGATGTTCTCTCTAACTAACAGAATCACTTCTACCAGAATTTTTCTTGGTATCCTGTCCACAGTTAACCAACCCCTAAATTCCGCCAGACAGAGACTTGATAAAAACATTCAATGAGATAAGATAATACTAATATATATAAATGAAGGACATTAGCAATCTAAATATAGTGACCTGATTCACTACTATTTTTCTAGAAAACATTGTGCAGAAGAAAACAAACAATTTTATGCCCACAAAACTTTAGTAGAAAAACACTTATTATAGTCTCACAATTAGCCTAATTTGAGATGAAAACCTTTCCTAAGAAAAAGTGAATAGAGAAATATGAAATAAAAATATTTTTAAACAATGTATTACTTCTCCATAATACACGCTTATATTATTATTACTTATATATAAGAAAAATTAAGAATGACATATATCTAATAATTTGAAGAGCTGACTCTAAAAGATTAAAAACAAACCATTTCTTATAACACCCTTGCTATATATGAGAAATGATAGCCTAAGATACTTGTCTAAACAAATTTTGTATTGTTATACATCAATTATAAATTAGAAATAACTTCCACTAGATTACTTGTAAAAGTCTAGATTTTCTTTTAAAGCCATTCTAAAGAGTAATTAAAAAAGATTTCAGGAAAAAAATCAAGCAATTTATAATACTTTAATAGTATATGAGTAATTTTTAAATTAATAGTTATTTCTTACTTATAACTTTTAAAATTAACCTATGAGTTACTATTTACTTCTAGTATTCTTTTTTACAACTCACCTATGAGAAACTGCTCCCCATGCACCATGCTTATTTGTGAGAATGTTCAGGATTTTCTGTTTCAACTGATTTGCAGTCACGTGGTCCCGATGCTTTGCGGCACTTATGAGGTGGTCACACATCTTCTCTTCCTCTCTTCTATCAGCAGCATATTGGGCGCACTGTGACTAAAAGAAATACCAACAGTGCATGATAATACACCTCTATCTATATAAGAAAGAAATGATATCTAGCCTTGAGATAAAGGGTATTTATTATCAATTCAATTTTCAAAACTCAGATAATATAATATTTTGAAAGTTATTCTAACATATATATATATATATATATGCATATATATATGGTCACTTTTCAAACTGGTAAAACTGTGTTCTTTCCATGTGTTTATACATAGAGTATATGGAAAGTAATTTGAATGTTAATAATCTGGGATTCCCACATTGTAGGCAGATTCTTTACCATCTGAGTCACAAGGGAAGCCCATTAAGTAATATTATCAGATAATTTATGACTTTTAATCTACCTTCCAATTCTGAAATTCTGATTTTAACATATTCTAAAAGCAAGCATTTTAGAAACAAAATAGTTTATAAAAAATGCACATCTACTTATTATTTTACCAATACAATATTGTTGTTGTTGCTGTTTAGTTGCTACGTAGTGCCTTAAGTTTTGTTATCCCATGGACGGTAGCCTGCCAGGCTGCTCTATAGATGGGATTTCCCAGCAAGAACACTGGAATGGTTTGCCACTTCCTTTTCCAGGAGATCGTCCCGACCGAGGTATTGAACACAGGTCTCCTGCGTTGGCAGGGGAATTCTTTACTGCTGAGCTACCAGGGAAGCCCCTAATATAGTATATAAGTGTTCATTGTTCAGTCGTGTCCAACTCTTTGCCACACCATGAACTGTAGCCTACCAGGTTCTTTTATCCATGGAACTCTCCAGGCAACATTACTGGAGTGAGTAGCCATTCCCTTCTCCAGGCGATATTCCCGACCCAGGGATTGAACCCAGGTCTCCTGAATTGCAGGGAGATCTTTTTTACCATCTGAGCCACCAGGGAAGCCTAATATAGTATCAGTTCAGTTCAGTCACTCAGTCGTGTGTGACTCTTTGCGACCCCCTGAACTGCAGCACACCAGGCCTCCCTGCCCATCAACAACTCCCAGAGTCCAGCCAAACCCATGCCCACTGAGTTGGTGATGCCATCCAATTATCTTATCCTCTGTTGTCCCCTTCTCCTCCTGCCCTCAATCTTTCCCACTGCCTTCAATCTTTCCCACTATCGGGGTCTTTTCAAATGAGTCAGCTCTTCGCATCAGGTGGCCAAAGTATTGGGGTTTCAGCTTCAGCATCAGTCCTTCCAATGAACACCCAGGACTGATCTCCTTTAAGATGGACTGGTTGGATCTCCTTCAAGCCAAGGGACTCTCAAGAGTCTTCTCCAACACCACAGTTCAAAAGCATCAATTCTTCGGCACTCAGCTTTCTTTATAGTTCAACATTCACATCCATACATGACTACTGGAAAAACCATAGCCTTGACTAGACAGACCTTTGTTGGCAAAGTAATGTCTCTGCTTTTTAATATGCTGTCTAGGTTGGTCATAACTTTCCTTCCAAGGAGTAAGTGTCTTTTAATTTCAAGGCTGCAATCACCATCTGCAGTGATTTGGGAGCCCAAAAAAATAAAGTCTGCCACTGTTACCACTGTTTCCCCATCTATTTCCCATGAAGTGATGGGACTGGATGCCATGATCTTAGTTTTCTGAATGTTGAGCTTTAAGCCAACTTTTTCACTCTCCTCTTTCACTTTCATTAAGAGGCTCTTTAGTTCCTCTTCACTTTCTGCCATAAGGGTGGTATCATCTGCATATCTGAGGTTATTGATATTTCTCAACAATTTTGATTCCAGCTTGTGCTTCCTCCAGCCCAGCGTTTGTCATGATGTACTCTGCATGTAAGTTATAAGCAGGGTGACAATATATAGCCTTGACATACTCCTTTTCCTATTTGGAACCAGTCTGATGTTCCATGTCCAGTTCTAACTGTAGCTTCCTGACCTGCATATAGGTTTCTCAAGAGGTAGGTCAGGTGGTCTGGTATTCCTATCTTTTTCAGAATTTTCCAGTTTATTGTGACCCACAGAGTCAAAGGCTTTGGCATAGTCAATAAAGCAGAAATATATGTTTTTCTGGAACTCTCTTGCTTTTTCAATGATCCAGTGGATGTTGGCAATTTGATCTCTGGTTCCTCTGCCTTTTCTAAAACCAGCATGAACATCTGGAAGTTCATGGTTCACGTATTGCTGAAGCCTGGCTTGGAGAATTTTAAGCATCACTTTACTAGTGTGTGAGATGAGTGCAACTGAGTGGTAGTTTGAGCATTCTTTGGCATTGCCTTTCTTTGGGATTGGAATGAAATATCTGACTTAAAAATGTTATGTTCTTGATAATTATATATAGATCAAAACCATGCCATTTAATAGTGTTCCATCTCATAAATGGCAATGTGATATAGAAGATAATTTAGGAATTTAGACTTGCATTCAATTTCACACTTTACGTAAATTCTTTTTTTCTCTGTATTCAGTTTTATATTCATAAAACAAAGGGTTAACACAAGGTTTTCTCTACAGAGTATCTTAGCTCTCGAATTTAATGTATTCAAAGTCTCTTTGAATGATAACTACTCTCTTAATCTTCTCTACCTAATAATCAGTTGTCTGGTCAGCTATCTGCATTCAAGTTCACTGGTATTAGAAACATAGGCAATCTTGTGTATCAAAAAGGCTCAGTACAAACATGAACATGAAGATGAAACATCTCCTTAATCATAAGTCTTTTTTTTATAATGATTTATGTATAGGGTAGAGTGCCTGCAAATTTTAAAATTATCAAGTATTAATATGAGTCATATAATTATAAAAAAAGCTTCATACATATAAAATATATACATAATGAGTTCACATTCATTATTACAAAGTAAAAATCCTTCATGGAAGGTATCTGAGCATAATCCTTTCAACTATCTCCTGATACAGACTACCAAAGTCACCTCTTCCAGAGAAATAATCCTTCAGTAACCTAAGAAGGATTAATTCATTTTCCAATTTATCTTTTTGTACAGGGAATCACCAATTAGTACAATGATCTGCCTCCATAATGAGGTTAATATTTCATTAGCTCATTGGAGAGTAAAATTAAATTTTCATTTTTCTTCCTTAACAATTACAGTGGTTAGCCAAAAAAACTTAACTGTTAAGTATCCATGTCAAATTAAACATACTTTTTCTCTTAGTTACAGGCTTATATGGGAGATACAGAAATTCCTTGAAAAGTCCTAGTATAAAATGTTATGGCTTTTATAAAATCACTTACAATTTAAAATTTAAAAGTGGAAAATGTTTGGTAAACCACACATGCACACAGATACACACACATCAATGCATTTTATTAATATAGCTTTAACCTAAAAGGAACAAATAGAAAATTTGGGTTAAAAAAAACAATGCACGTTCATTAAGTAACAATGATAATACTCTCAAAATTTGGTTTACATCAGTATTCTATTTTATGTGTACACAATCTAAAAACACTGAGTTGTTCACATTCCCTTCACAGCATCTATACCTCCTTTAGCTGTGTGTCCTCAATCAGAGAGATCTCATTGCCAAGATGGTGAAAATGGTATTAAGGGTGTGTGAAAACAATTTTACTCTTTAAATGTATAAAGCACACATACACAGTACATAAACAAATAAACAGCACATTGGTGATAATTATAATAAATCACGGTAGGGTCTGATTAGGGTGACACCTATTTAAAAATTTGCCTTAGAGGGGACAATAATGTAAAAGGTTGAGAAACACCACCCTTAGCTTAATATCACCTTGGTTAAATATATGTTAGAGCTTGTAATTAAAATCTGGTGGCTTGAAAATGTATCTTAAATGCTTTCACATGTCATATATTGATCTGCTTATATCCCCACAAAATAACTTGCTTTTCTTAGTAGAAATATGATCAACTCAAAACTGATTCTGCAGAGAATTCAGTTAATATTCTAAATCTTATTACTAACAGAGGTCAAAAGTCAACTGAATATTGCTATTTTGTCGAGAGTTCTGACATATCTTATACCTAAACATATTGTTCAAAGCAGATAATTCAATCTCTTCTCATCATCCAGATTACAGTATGATACCTGATTTATAAAGATTTGATGTTATTTATGGTTGGAAAGATACAAAACTTCATTCTGACAAACACTTAACTGTTGATGTACTTTTATCAGAATTTATATGTTTTTTTCAAATAAGGCTGCTACAATCCCATATGACAGGTGTGTGCTGTCTCATTTGACAAATGAAGTGGATATTATGGTTATTATAATGAAACAGTTATTTCTGTCTTATTCTTTTCAGCGAGGTAGATCAGAGATCTCTAGACCTAGGACATCAACCTGCATGACTAAGAGAGCTTCCTTACTGAGATAAAAACCTCAAAACTGGAAACATGGGTTCTGGCTACCAGTTGCACCACACCTGTTCATATGTTGTATCAGGGGCATAAATTGGTGGGCTTAGTTATTATTTTCAAGGTCAACCTAAGTCAAACAGCAGGTCACCTAAATATTTCTGAAAATAAGTTTATTGAATCAGGGCAATATGTCAAATAATTATTGACATGCTAGATATATAAGAATAATATTTATTTTAAAAACTATTAGTTTGTACTATATACTACTTGAATACCTTAAATTTTTGAATATAAAATAGAAATGATAATTTGTTCTTTATGCAAATGATAATTTGTGCTTATGAAGATTTTAAACTATTATGTTTCCATATATACATACAGATCTACATATACATTATATATGATAGGATTGCTTCATTTGTTAATAAAGTATAAATTATAGCAATAAAATATGAACTAAAATGATCTTTGGCCACTCTAAATAGAGATGAATACATTATTAAATAATAAATTACTGAAGAGTAAAACTTTCTTCACATAACCACTATTGCACCCATATCTAATGGTGTGTAAACTATGCTTAAAAATTACTAAAGGAATTGCACTGCAAAACCGTATGTGACTTTAAGAATAAGTTAGAACAACCTCAGTCTATCAAGTGGTTAGGCATAATGCTAGAGTAGTCTTTTCATATTGCAAATGAGGTAATAAGAAATAAGTGCCCTGTCTGACATTTACTAAAGCTTTAAAAATCAACTGAAATGCCTTCAGTGAAATTTTCATCTTGAAAAAAAAACTTACGTTTTTTAAGGTTACCATTGGTGACAACTGACTTGTAACAGAAAAGCAGAATTTAATTCACTCCCAAAACCTTACCTCAAACTCTGCATGTTTATGTACATCCTCAGCTCTCTGTCTGTTCAAAATAAACTCAGCTTCATTTGCAACACGAACTATATGGTCCTTCATAGCATGGCATAGCAATCTGAAAAGAAAAATACCTTTGGGATTAATATTAATAACTTTGTGCAACTCAACTTTCTCCAGTAATCAAATTTCAGTATTGTAAATATTAACTATGCATAAATTTTAGATAAGTCTAAATCATACAATTACAAAATACAGCAATGCCTCTTAAATATAGTGTGTCTTGTGAACAAGTGATTCAGTTAATTTAATAAAGGCATTAAAAGCAAGAAAAACAAGGATTTTGGACACTTTTAAAATGATTAAAACAATAGAATTCAGTGTCATGAAAGTAAATTTTCACACAAAACCTTGATGATCGTATGTTAGAAAATCTATAGACTGGATTCTTTCTTTAATTAATATATACACTAGGACTGAATTACATCTAAAACTCACTTACATGCTCAGATCCTTAATTCTAAGATGGAACCTTCCTGAAATAAGTTCCAAGGAGCAGTGAATTCAAGATAGTTTCTCATTAGAAATCTTACAAAAATCTATGTCTGTTCTGACATAAACTTTGTTATCCTATGGTGAGATTTGGGTTAAACTGACTGTCACTCTAGGAACAGCAGGAACTTCTTGGCCATATGACAGAGGCCTCGCTTAAGACGAACACAGGCACATTCCAATGGGAATATCGTCTAGTTTTCAGCATGGATGTTAACAACCTAAGTTACTCAAAGAACACAAGAGTAAGGGGAAATCAACTAGAAAGCACAATACTTGGGGGAAAATGGCTCAAACACTTCTGTAAATAATGTTGGAGGGCAAACAATCATACAGATAGTCTTAAATTTAATCACTGAGGAAGCTGGGAAAATAAAAGAAGTTAAAGACTAAACTTCCCAACTATTAACTTTTGATGACCTCATTGGTCTATGTTTTACAGATAATCTTCAAAAGAGAAGAGGTTGGAGTCTTCGTTCGATGGCTTTATCTAGTGCATGAAGGCTGAAGAAAGCCAGGAAGAAATCTAATATGTGCAAATTAGTGCAGATTACAACATTTAAATAGATTAACAGAAGATAGCAGGAAAGGAGAGACTCAGGGTCTGGCTGGTTAATAGGTATTATACCATTTTAGGAACAAAACATTGGGTGACCAAAGCCAAGAGGCATGGCAGCAGAGGAGGGGATGGGATAGGAGAGATTCCTGCCCCAGATACAGCAGAGAAATTGTATCGGTTGTCTGAAAGTCTGTCCTCCCAGTTCTTCACTGAGGAGTTATACATCAACTAATGTGTGATCTGTTTGTGTGTGTATTTTTTTTAAGCAGAAATTTATTAAGATCCATTTATATAGTGTTTTACAGACCAAACATACATGCATACACACACACACACACAGAATCCTCAACATTCAGGCAATCAACACTATTCTCAGAAGTGCATCATAAGAAGACAGACTTCTTTGCCCTCATCCCCTAAAAAGACACTTCCGTTTATACTCCTAAAAATTATGAATTTATTACACTACCTCTCAAGAACAATCCCACTGAATCCCAAAGCCTCTGCAGAGGGTGAAGAGAGATTAGCAGAGAACCTTCTCCAAAAACAGTGCCACACCCAGAGGGGTAGTGCAAGAGACACAGAAATGGCTTGAAGGAGTGTGTGCCCAATCATGGGCTGTGAGGAGAGCCTGGGGGCCCTGCTGGGCCACCCCAGCTGCGGAGTTGGCTAGACAATACTGAATGGCTTCCACGGCCTCTTATTCCTCCTCATCTTCTCGTGCAGCCACGGCTCCTGGAGGTTTAGGCTCCAGGAGGGCGTCTGTCACCTTACTAGGTGCTTGGCCTAAGGCCCCTATGGTGATGTCAAACAGAATTCTATCAATTTCTATTGCTGCTGCTTCTTGCATTTCTTCTTGATTGCCCGCGCTTTCAAAAGTGTCCTCTAACATCTTTTCTATGATCCCAGCCTTCATCATCTCTTTGGACAGCTCCTGACTGATGGCCTGGATTTCTAAGATCTTCACAAGATGCTGCATGGCCTTCATCACCTCTGTGCTCTTCTGCAAGAGAACTAGCCACTCAGACAACTGCCAGTTGGTTCTTCATCCCCGTGAGCACGGAGTTCATGTGCACTTTGGATGCACAGAGCTTGCTCATGGCCTTCCTTGCCCTGAATCATCTCCTTGGCCAGAACCATGCAGATATCCTTCTGATCCTTGTTGGCCCCATCATTCATAGACTGTTTCACTTTTTCTTCTTCTCTATGGATATCTCATATCTGCCCGTCAACAACTCTCATTTCTTTTTTTATCTTCAGTGACTTCATTGACCAGCTCTTTGGGCGGCTTCTCCTGGGTTTTTCCAAATAGCCCCATGGCAAACTGAACTGAACTTGCACTTCCCAGCTTTCCATTCCCTGTGCCCAGGCAGGTCACAGGCAGCTGCCTGAGTGGGGCCATTGAGAGGCATGTGTGATGTTTTATTTCCATGCCTCTACTTACCTGACTCTTTTAAAGGGGAATTAAAAATACCTAAATCTAAGATTCTTTTAGAATCGTCAATTCTATCTCACTTCAGGAAGTCACTCTATTGGCCATAATCAGCTTCACATATTAAATTTTTAAGCTTAAACTATCTACTCTGTGCCACAGTCACGGATAAGAATCCTAACCTTTCTCTCTTCCCTTCACTTGTCTCTCCCTGGTTCTAGGAAAAAGAAAAAAAAAAGACTTCCAACTTCCACTTCTGTGATCCCTCTGTTTTCTCTTAGTCCTTCATCCACTGCTCAATTTATTTCCTTTTTCACTAAGTTTGGATCCCATGATTCCACATTTTAAGCATCCTCTTGCAGCACCTTCACTCAATCTGTGATCTGTGCTACAGCTGCTTAGGAAATACGTAGGCTAGGTAAAGATGGGGGTACCCCTTCTCAGTCCTACATCTGGGCCTCTGAGGAAACTTCAGTTGACTTTTCTAAGCTAATTTTGTTACGGCTGTATTCCTCGTCATGCGTGGTTACTGAAGTCCCTGCTTTTATTATGTTAGTGGAAGTTAATGATTAGAAAAGAATTCTTTAAATGCCTGAATCCAAAAAAATCTCCCAGACTTTCTCAAGGAGCTGCGTGTATGTGCTGACAGCCCTTGAACACTCAGCCGGGCAGGTTTCAACCCTACCTTTGAATTTACTTCCTGCTGCCACAGAATCTCAGCATCGACAGGTGAGAGTCTGAAACCTTCTCATCTTTCCGGAACATGAGAACTAAGCATGTGCAGGGCCCTTTAGAGTTTCAGAAATATGTCGGAGCTCTTCCAAGTGTTGTGCACATTTCACTGCCCTGCTCTTCCTCCCAAGCTTTCCGGTTTGTCCAGCATTGGCCTCAGCTGTTCTCTATCACCCGGGCAATGGCCACCTAAGATACTGGCCTATAAGCGCCTTCAGCAAATGCCCTCAGTGAAGCAGCTTTCTTTTCACACTAGGCCAGTTCCAACTTAGGGTAAATGAATCTTTAAAATCTATTCTTCCAGGGAGTCACTAGACAGATCAAAAGTAAGTAATTAAAATTCTTTGCTGATGATGTTTATTACCTCTGGCACAGTGGCTTATAATGTGTGCTTTTTAAATTGTTCCCTTTGAACTGGGAAGCAAAGGTTGGCACTGGAGTTAAGTTGGCACTGTTAAGATGGCACTGCACCATCACACCCCCTAATAGTTTTGAAAATATTTTTGTTGTATATACAATTATTGAGACTTTTTTCTTCAAACATTGAAAGTATTATGTCCTTTTCTTCTAGCTTTCTTTGTTGCTGTCATTCTAATTTTCCCTTTCTGTAAATGATCAGTTCCTTCTTACTGGGTGCTTTTACCTCTTTATTTTTGACTTTACCACTTGTCTAGCCTGGGTTTCTTTTACTTGAGGTACACTGTGATTTTCATATTACTATATTTTTATTTTCAATCAGCTTTTAAAAATTCACAAACATTATCTTTTATGTATTTCATTTCACTTACTCTGTATTTATTTTCCTTTTTCAATTCTGATGATTTGCAAATTAAACTTTCTTATTCTACCTCCACACCTCTTAATATCACTTTCTTTTTTCATTTCTTTCTCTTTCTGCATTTTGGGTAAAAATCTCAAAATCTATTTTTCAAGTCAGTATAATTCCCTTCATCTTTGTATAATCTGATAAATCATTCATACACAGAGTTTTTCCAAATTGTATTTTTAAAATCTATGAAACTGTTAGTCACTCAGTAATGTCTGACTCTTTGTGATCCCATGGACTGTAGCCTGTCAGGCTCCTCTGTCCATGGGATTCTTCAGGCAAAAGTAGTGGAGTGGGTTGCCATTTTCCCTTCTCTAGCAGACCTTCCTGACCCAGGGATCAAACCCAGGTCTCCTACATTGCAGGCAGACTCTTTACTGTCTGAGCCACCAGGAAAACCTTAAAAAAAAAAAAAAATATACACACCCACACACACCCACACACACCCCCCAAGGACTATCAAGATTAGAATTATGAAATACAGGAAATAAAATAGTAGAAAACCGAATGAATAAAAAAAGACCATAGGAAGCTTTGAAAAATTGAGAGGTGATAGAATTTAAGGCTTTTCTGAGCAACCAGGAAAGCCATATTCATCCTACCTAGGGGTAGGATGTGAATGTTCTATAGCAGAAGATAACCCTCAGTGACCCATTCAGCTTTATTCACTCTTCAATCTGTTGAAATCTGACTTTAAGATCATCCTACATTAATCACTAGTCTTGTCAATTTTATTTATTTTTAATCTGCTTCATTACTTAAACACTGTTTTAATTCAAGCCTAATCATCTGTCATCCAATTACAACATCCGCCCAATTTCTCTGACTCGATCTCAAGTCTTCAGTCCCTCTGTTGCATTTTTCGCTCTACCACTAGTGTTATTTACACTTCTTGGCTACTTTTATTGACAAGATAATAGTTAAACATTATATATAGACATTGGTCTACTTCTCTAACTTTATCTACCGCCTTTTCAGTATATGTTTTCTGTGTTTCAGAGAACATAGTTCTTTTAA